ACTCTCTTTTCATTATCATGTTAGCAGTCTGTAATATGGGTATAGTACCGTGTTGGTTTAAAAAAATAATAATGCAGCATTACAGAAACATTTTATTACGTTACAATTCATGTTGCTGAAGTAGCCACGGTATTGTTGAATGCTTGATAATATTTGCGTCGGTTAATTCGGTGGTAGAGTTAGACTGGATGAGCATGGAAGCTGAACATCTGTCCTGCTTCTGGAAATCTCTTTTACATGTCACTGCTGCTGCGTAATAGTACTGCAGAGTTGAAAAGCTTGCACTGCTGTTGCTGTGTGCGCTGTGTCTGGCTTTTTTTGAGATCCTGAACTGTCAGGATGCCACTAGCAACACGTGCTGCTAGAAGAAACAATCCGTGGAAAGCAGAAACGTGTTAATAATACCCTACGGGTTATAGAACCATACTTGTTCTGCATTACCTGTTTTCAGAGAATGCGATCCTAGTAATGAGGGTGATGGAGGAAAAGTGTTTATTTTTTTTCTTAACAGCAGCTTAAGTCTAGATCCTTGTTTCAGAAATTGGTCTTCAGCAGTGACGGCTGAATGTAATTCCTATGCACTGTCTTTGGCACATTCAAGTTGCGTTTTGCAATAGGTCAGGAAGTGATAAAATTCCTTGAATTTGAGAATTTGTTGTTTTAACTTAGAGCATCCTAAGACTTCGGTATCCATGCAATCTTTGGTATAGTGGAGCGTGCATTATAGCATGAAAGGCTTTGGCTGTTCAGTGGTTTGTTTGGGATAATTTCTCCCTCTGATATGTTTTCAAACCTCAGCTATCTAGCAAATAGATTCTTCTTGTTTTTTATAGCGTACATTTTAACGGCAGTGAAGGCTGCTTACGTGCGTACCTTCCTTTACACAGCTTTTCAAAATGCAGAGAGATGCATTAATGTCAGATTCCCTCATGACTTCAACTTTCACGCGAGAACTTCTGCGGGTTGAGAGGGGGTGAAAGAGCTAGCCTAGCGCATCGACGCAGTTTCTCAGGTGAGCACAGGCGCAGAGTTCTGATCCACTTCTGTAGCATTTTTCTAGTGCTGAGGTCAGAACCGACAGTTCTGACAGGCTACCCACGGTTTATTCATGTATCTTTTAGTTACCTTTTGCTACTGTTTTATAGCATTTTTGTATGTACTCATGTTTTACTATACAATTTAACCTCTTCCATTTTTAATGCATATTTGTTTACAAGACACATCTCAGTGTTGTATCAAGAGGCTATCTTGGTATTGTCAGCTATGAAAATAAACTACATCAGTAGTTAAGGAACATTGTCGAAGTTGACAGGTATTTTAAAACTTGATGTTTGAGTTTTGAGTGTCCATAACAATTTTGTTCTGTTTCGTTCCGTAGTTCTCCCGTGTAAGAAATACGCGTACCTTCTGGCCTCTGAGGTCATGGGTATGGATAGTTTATTTTGTCTTAATAATCACGGAGCACGGTATTGCAAGCAAACAGCCCGAGCCCCACAGGATCACACTCGGCAGATAAGTTGAAAACCCATTAGAATTGCAATCATGTCGCTTAGAAGCTATTCGGGATGTTTTAATAAGGTGTAGTATGTCTTGCCTAAACAGGAATTTTTATGGTTTGATTTGAATTTAATTAAACAGTAATTGGCAATGGCCTGCTGTTTAGTCTGAACAGCATTAGCAAATCTGCTTAATGTGGAAGCCTTTGGCTGTATCGCCATCAAGTTGCGTGGTGGTTAATATGTGACATCCTAAAGTTGATCTGCTGAAATCAGAGGCTGTCAGATGAAGATTAAAAGATAAAATGCAGTGACAGTTGTTTTACACAGTCCTTCAGGGCTATTACTGCAAAAGGCTTTGTCTTGGATCAACGTCTGCGGACACGGCGTTCCACTTTGTCTGAGCGAGTAGTACTGACCGTGTAGGAGCCCTTCGTAAAAGCTGATTCTGGACAGAGAAGAATTTTTGAAAATAGAACCAAATCTTTTCTCCATAGCCTGCTTTTAGTCGTAAGGGTATAATATAGGAGCTAGAAAGCTGCAGTAATGGCAGTGCTGCCATATTTCTGCCATCTGTGTTTATCATCAACAGGCTTTCTGTTGAAATTTCCTGGCTGTCTCGGTGCCATCTGAAGCAGAAAGGGTTAAGCTTTGGTTTTGGGTGTCTAGTGGATCTTGAACTGAGGAATATTAGTCTTGCCTTTGTACAAAGAACAAACAAAAATAAGGGCGAATATGTTCACCGCAGAACGTTGATTCTTTTTGGAGGATGCAGCTTCGCTGACTCTAACCGTGCTTTGCAAAAAAAGAAATGTGACCTGCAAGGTAAGAAAGCTGGGCAGGGCCCAATGTTTCTTCTTGAATGTGTATGCTAATGTATTTCCCTTTTGGGACAGCAAGATGTCCGCTTCATACAAAGTATTCTACAAACAAAAGTAAAACTGACTAGAATTTATTTTTGTTTACCCCCTCCCAAAGAATGTAGTAGAAGACTTTGACTGTGGAGCTATTCCAGACATCTGATAAAGAGCATACTTTGAGAGCCAAAAACTTGTTTTTAGATGCACCGTTGAACTGAGGCTGGAATAGCTCTCCTCATGGGAACGTACCTGTGTGCACGTGCACTGCCTGGTGTGTTCATTACGTAGTCTGGCTTCCAGAGTTGTATAAATAACGCTTACCGTGTGCACTCGGAGCAAATACTGCACTGTGCAGTTGCCACTTTTAAATGTTTTGCACATGCTGGTGAGGTTTTTTGGGGCTTTTCTTTTTTTTTGTTTTTAGTCCTCAAATCAATTGTACCACAGCGTGGACTAATTGGTTGCCAAAGGTTATTTTTAAATGCATCTTTGACATTGTTGTATGCCACATCTTCTAAAAAAAAAAAGTGTCTTAAATGTGTCTTTGAATAGTTTTATGTTCATGGAACAGAAGTTTGGACTTCTTTTTACTTAAAACACTTGCTTCTCTGTTGAGACCATGCATTGCAGAAGGTTTTCATCTCAAAGTAGGGTTTTTGGCAGGGGGTGTAACAGGATAATTATGAACCTTCGGAAAACAGGGGTCTTTTAATGGAGACACTGAATGAACTGTAAGCAGCGCACACAGTCAGGAGAGGGGAGGAGAGGTTGGAAGGCGTTGTGTCTGGAGCCCATTTCAGTCCTTGAGCAGTACATGCAGCAGTGCTGTACTAATAACTGGAAGCTGTTGTTTTTGATTTATTTTTTCGTTGTTTGGGGTTATTTTTTTTTCCTTTTTTCTCTTTTGAACACAGGAAGGCTTTGAGGATGGCCTCTGCATGGTTCCTAGTGTGTGCTGTGTGCTGGGGGGGGGGTTTACAATACCTGGGTTTGCTCTAGGCTCCTTGAGATGTGTTGTGATTTTTTTGGCTAGCATGTCTTAAATCTTCAGGCTTTGAAACTGCTTTATAGAATTGTGTTGACTTTTTGTTCTGCTGTTGTTCAGTTGCACAGAGTTTTATATATATGATGTACTAGTTTTTAACGTTGATTCTCTGTGAACAGGGTTGAGATTATTCATTGTAGTTTAAAAAAAAAAAGTTGTATTCTAAAACTCCCTTTTAAAAATCTTGTTTGTATTCTGTTGCAGTGTTACCAGATGGCCTTATGTACGTCACAGTGTTTTGTGATAAGTACAGTAGCACATTTAATGCTTATCTTCCCCCCGTTTTTATAGGTGAGAAGTATATTCTTAATAATAGAGATGAGTAAATGGGAAAATTCTAGCAACATGTACAGTAAGGATAGTGGTTGTCTCCTCTAATGTATATTAGGACAGCTGGAATTAATCTGGGACTGAAATGACTCTGAATAGGGATCATTAACCAGCGTGAGACTTTGACTTGGGAATTCTGAGAATCTTTGAGCGAGCCGATGGCAGATTTGAATCGTATGCCAGAAGCTTGTAAATCAGAATAGATCTGTTGGCTTCACTGCAACTGGTCTAACTTACACCGGCTGAGAATCTGGTCCTTGCAGCTTTTTGTCTATG